ACATACTTCTACTTTCACTCAAGTACAAGATCTGAGTACTTCTACTTTTAATCAAGTACAAGATCTGAGTACTTCTACTTTTACTCAAGAACAAGATCTGAGCTTTTACTTCTACTTTTACTCAAGAACAAGATCTGAGTACTTCTACTTTTACTCAAGTACAAGATCTGAGTACTTCTACTTTTACTCAAGTACAAGATCTGAGTACTTCTACTTTTACTCAAGTACAAGATCTGAGTACTTCTACTTTTACTCAAGAACAAGATCTGAGTACTTCTACTTTTACTCAAGTACAAGATCTGAGTACTTCTACTTTTACTCAAGTACAATATCTGAATACTTCTACTTTTACTCAAGAACAAGATCTGAGTACTTCTACTTTCTCAAGTACAAGATCTGAGTACTTCTACTTTTAATCAAGTACAAGATCTGAATACTTCTACTTTTACTCAAGAACAAGATCTGAGTACTTCTACTTTTACTCAAGTACAAGATCTGAGTACTTCTCCCACCTCTAGTTGGCTGTGATTGAAGTAACAAATGGGATTTTTCGTGACTCTTTGTCGGGGACCTGACATCTGGATTTATTTTATTTATTTCGCTGAGGCTTCATAAGATCAGAGGGATTTCCTTTTGTCAGGAGACAGAACTAAATCCCTCTGGTCTTATCAAATAAATACAAATAAATCCAGATGTCCCTGCTGAGCTCTCTGCAGGTGATGTGAAGCACCTTGACTCTTATCATGTTTCCGTGGTATCTCCTGAAAACACTCCAACACCCGGACCCTGACCCCAGATTATTATGTGTGTTACATAAGGAAAGTGACTTCTTTATGATAATATTGATGGTGCTGTTTAGAACATGCTGCAAACCTTCAGGGTCGGATTAATTAAAGCCAATGAGGAAGTTAATAATCTCATAAACGCACGCTGCCATTTAAAGGTTACAGCAACATTTTAGATCCAATATTTTGATTTGTGTTGTGGGGAGCTAAGAGGAGGGTTCAAAGGACACAAGTACAGTGACCGACGATTAAAGGTTGTTCACTTAAAGGTAAAGCCAATGGAGAAGAGCTTTTAACCTGCCCTTTCTCTAATGTCCAGCAGGGGGCGACTCCACTAGTTGCAGAAATACATAAATCAGATTGTATGGAAGTCTAGGAATGACCCTACTTCTCACTTGACTTATATCCTCAGTAATCATTTTCCCGATGAGTTTATGATCTCAATCTCTAGTTTCAAGTCTTCTTCAATAGAGAGGCGAAGTCCCTCCCCTCATGGGACCTTATTTCGGAAAAAGTTTGTATTGAAGTCAATGGTGAGAGAAAGATTATCTTTCGATCCCGTTTGAATTGTGCCATGAATTACACATATGATGTTTGTCAATCTTAAACAATAATTTTCATGTAAAAAAAGTCACAGTTTGTCGTAAAACTGTTGAAATATAAGACTATGAAAAATACGCAACTAGAAAGACTAAAATCCCAATCCCGGTCGCGAAAGTGATGTCATAGGCGATAATGCTCCAAGACTGGTTGCGACTCGC